CACACACACACACACACACTCACACACAGACACACACACACTGGATGCATGACACAGCAAAAACAGACTGTGTTCCACCCAAACTTGCACTAAACTTCACTGGAGGACGTATGAATGCATTTATATAGGATCACACACGCACAACTCCGTTTATCCACCGGGTCATCTGATCTAAACGTGCGAACCGCCGTGCGTCCCAGCTGCCGCCTCCTACCTTCTTGAGTTTCTCCACCATTTCCTCGATGTTGAGGTCGGAGTTGTGCGGCACCTTGTTCTCCATCTGCGTCAGCCACTCGCACAGCTCCTTGTTCTTCTCGTTGAAGATGATCCAGGCGTTCAGGCGGTCGGCGATCTCCTGTTTACGCAGAGACACCTGAGGGTCGCAGGGGAGACACCAAATAAGCTTCATGATCATAATCACCTTAAGACGCTCAGTAGTTACCGTGTATTCACGTCTTATTACTGATGCTGACGAGGAGTAATATCTCAACAGTTTAAATTCTCCAACACTCCAGAGGTTTAGAGCCACTGAAACTGAGGCGCCTGGAGACGCTGCTCGTCCTGTTTCAGTTTGAAAGAGTAGTTTTCATTGTGGTGCGGACGCAGCCTCACATGTGATCACGTGATCAAAAATGATCCGGGTCAGAAAAGGAACGAGCAGCACTCGTCCATTTCTCCAAACTCTGGATGAAACACAAACACAGACGGACTCTGACAGTAAAAAGTGAAAGACAGCGTGATCACCTTCCCTTCCCCCAAAAGCCATTAGCATACAAAAGCTCCTCTCGGCTCATTTCAACTTTTCTCCTCCGTCACCATCTGTTCCCTCTTTCACACAATGACCCCACCCCCTCCACCCCCCCCACCCAGACCTGTTGCTCTCTTCACTCGCCCTTTTAAGACTCAGCAAGATTTACTAACTTCACTGCACATTGAAGGTTGAGCAGCAAACGCACCGCGGACGAGTCCACGGCCTCAAACATGTTGCAAGACAACTTCTGATTGAATTAAGAAAATCTGAGTATCTGCTTTGAGCCTTTATCCTCAGAGAGAGCTGAGTGACAGGTCAGGCTGCTGGTGACATGTGTTAGAGCTTCACTTACTCATCTTCTTCAAACAAGTCGTGACCAGTGACAGATTTAAAAAAGACAAACGTTTGATGACGTGTCTCTTGAATCCAGGTCACTGGTGCAGAAAGATTCAATCTGAATGACTTCCCCGTGGAGACTTAACTTCATTTGACGCAAACCAGATTAACGCGTCAACTGAAGTCGTTTACATGGGTCCGCACTAACTCACACTGTGAAGCTCAGAGCACAGAATTGAATTTGAAATCACAGTGGAGATGCGGCCGCGTGTTCCAGGGTTGATGCAGGTTCACTTTCATTCAAGTTTAAATAAAGAACCAGAACGAGCCGATAAACAACATGCACAGATTTTTATCAGTGTCATGTACCCTCAATATGCACACTGTGTGAATCACACGTCTGAAAAAGAGATTCACGTTTAAATATAAGCATCTCAACACCTCTTAAAAACCACAAGAGACAAATCTAGTGAAGATATTTCACGAGGAATCAACCGAATAAAGGAGAAGCAGCTTCAAGTCAGTTTGAAACGAACTCAGCAGACTCACCTGGAGGCACAGCTCCTCCCACTGACAGTGCAGGTGCTCCACCTGCTCCTGCAGCAGCAGGACGTCATCAGCGATGATGTACTGGGACAGATCCGTCTTCATGGTGCTCAGCTCCGTCAGGCTCTCGGCCCAGTCCACCAGGGAGTCCTCGTTCTCCTGCATACCATAGCACAGGGAGCACCACAACAAACTGTCAGAGACCCCCTCCACAGCTCTGCTCTCCCACAGCTACTCCCTCACACTGTCGGACCCCTTCCTCTGTCTCTGCCCCTCACTCCGCTCTGCGTCGCTCTCTCCGCCCCGAGAGAGGATTAAGGGCCCTGAAGGCCGGGCAGGGGGAGGGGAGAGGGCAGCGGAGGGAGGGGCAGGGATGGAGGATAAAGGCTGTGATGGGTCGGAGGGGAGGAGCTGTGAGTCAAACCTGTTTCACACTTGGCTTTGAAAGTTTGGAGTGATGTCCCAGCCTCGTTCAAACTGCCTGAAGGCTGCGTGTGTGTGTGTGTGTTGTTACTGTTCAAACACTTGTTCACTCTCATCACCACATCTCGTGTTTCCTGACCCTGAGTCTCTGCAGGTTTATTATTTCCCTGTTCGATTCCGTGTGAGCCGGTGTTTGCACCTTGTTGAATTTCTCGTTTCTCTGCAGCTCATCGTCCCACTCTGGAATCAACTGGTTCACCATGGTCTTCATGTCCTTCAGCTGCAGCATGCTGTCCGCCAGCTCGGCCTCGCAGCGCTCCCAGTTCTGAGACACACAGAGAATAAAATTACAGTCCAACCGATCTGATCAATGAGAACCTAACGAGAGAACGATCCCTCTGTCTTTTGCTTCCTAAACACATCTTCTGTCGTGAATTAAAGCTGATTGGATTAACTTGGCTGCTCAGGGGGAGCAGGGGACAGACGGAGGACGGGGCATCCAGATGTCTCTACAGTCAATGAGAACCGGTGTGTGGACAAGTTGAAAATAAAAAAACTAAGACAAACCACATCGAGCTGCAGCTGCGAAGAAGAAACAGTTCAACAAATTCAGTTTATTTTTTGACAGAAAGTGGCCGAGTACCTTGACGATGGCTTCGGTGAGGTCCATCCTCCGGCCCAGCTGAGCGTGGAGTCTGTCCCACTCGTCCTGCAGGGTCCCCAGGTCCGTCTGCAGCTGAGTCTGGGTCTCCTCGTCCCCCATGGCAAAGAGCTGCCGGCCGACCTCCAGCGTGTGGATGAAACTGCACTGATACCTCTGGAACAGCAGCTCTGTGTGCTGAGGAGGCGGAGACACCGAGTGAAAGAGGAAAACAACATTTAGATAAAGATCTGACAAAGTGTTTTAAATGAGTGAACGGTCACTGATGAGTAACAATCAACAGTCATCCTCATTCAGTCCACATCTCCTCGGGCTCCTTTCATCATCATCAAAGACTCAAGGCGTTTCCTCGTCTCGTCTCTTTCTTTTCAGGGAAATGCAATCAACAAATCTTTGAATCTTAAATCAGCCTTTGAGCAGCTGCTTCCTCTCAGTTTGTGTCCGTCAGTGGAAACGACAAACGAAATCTTGTGTTTGGATTAAATGAAAAATAAGACAATGATTCCAGATTTAACCTTGTGATGCACGTGCGTATCTAAATCAAGATTTCTAGATCTTTTATAAATATCTCAGTGATAATAAACCACGGATGAAAAAGTAAAACACGCGGGGATCATGCTGCAGTAGAGTCAGCGAAAGGTAAATGTAAAGACTTAAGTGTTCTTAGACCCCAGAGAGTTAATGTTTGATAACTAATATAAATTCCCTGAGGTCTCGTTCCCACCTGGAGGTCTCGCAGCGAGCGTCTGAGCTGCTGCAGGCTGCAGCGGGGGGGCCCGGCGGGGGGCAGGAGGGCGTGCGTGTCCGACAGGAACTTCTGCAGCTTCTTCAGGCTGCGGTGGTACAGGTGCCAGTGCCTCACCAGCCCCTCCACCAGGGAGCGCCGCTGGTCGGCGCGCTGCACCGCCCCCTGCCAGTGCTCCCTGAGCTGGGCCAGCTTCAGGATGAAGTCACTCCTGAAAATACGGACACATCGTGTGTTTGAAGACGAAGAGACAATAAGGATTCAGCCTCTGAAGACCATGAAAAAACTGCAGGAAACATTTCACCTGAAACTAAGATGTTGAATTGACAGTAAGACGATTCTGACGGAAAGCAGAGGAGACGTAAAGATTGAATCAAAGTTTGACCTTTTCACCTCCTGAGATCTAAATAAAAGCTGTGTGTCTCCTCCTGTCTTTACACAAAGGAGACACTTGACGGCTCTTTCACACCCGATAGGAGCGAAAGGTTCGGATCTAACTGAGTTGCAGAAAAAGAAGGAGATCAGTCGTAGTCTTCAGCTGCAACAATATCAAGTTTGATGGACGGGAACGTTCATTTTGCATTCAAACAGAAGACTCCGTTTTTCTACACACTCATTAAACGATTAGAAGAACTTGATTGAAGACAAAACGACGACGTGAAACCAAAAGTAAACACGTTACCTGTCGTCCAGCTCTCCTCTCTGCAGCAGGTGAAGAGCTTCGCTGATGACGGAGTGGAGGATCTGGTGACCGGTGGACAGCTCTGCCTGGAACCGCTGCAACACACCAGGAGACACCGGGAGATTACATCTGTGGGATTTTCAACCTCCACAAAAAAAGACTGCGTTTTTAACTCTCTGTTGATCTGTTGGTTTATCGACGTGCAGCTGGATGAAGGAGCAGATCCAGGATCAGTGTGTGACATGGTGCAGCTTGACTGAATGTGAGGGGGACCGCCGCGTGGAGGTCTGGGCTCTACAGAGTGACAGCGGAGGGTCGGGGAGTCTGTTCCTCGTGGTCGATACCTTGTGTGTGCAGAGCTGCTGTCGGAGGCCGGCGTACGATCCGGCCACGTCCACAGCCAGACCGTCCTCCATCCTCTGCAGGAAAGACATCCAGCTCTCACACTTCTGCTCGAAGCTCTGCTGCCTCAGCGACTCCGTCTGCAGCTCGCTGCCCAGAGCGCACAAAACAACACACACACATTTAGAAATGAGAAATTTACATTTATAGTCTGATAAAAGCTCAGATTAGACGCATCATGAAGCTTGGAGCCACCATGTCGTTAAACCTCGTGCGCTCAGATCTCCTCCCTCACTGACCTGCAGGCCTCCTCAGCTCTGGCGGAGGTGTCGGCCCAGCGCCGGTTGAGGCGTCGCAGGTGTCGAGCTGCGGCGTCGCCCAGCGTCAGGCTGCAGCTCAGCTCGTTGAGCACATCCAGGTCAGCAGACAGGCCGCTCAGCTCCAGGAGGCCAGACTGGAAACATATGGTGGCGTCAGAGACTCAGAGGGATCAAAACACCACACGCTAAAAACACGGCTGTTGACTGAGCCTGTTTAGTCCTCAGTCTGAGCAACGTTTAAACAATTGATTCATATTCATTTGGAAACAGAAAACGTCACAGCCAACTTAAAGTTCACAGAAAGAGTTTGAAAATGTTTGATTTTAATCTATTTTATTTTAGTTTCATGTCTTTATCTCTTACGTCCTTCTAGTCAACTGCCTCGTCTGATTTTAAATTTGTTTTTGGTTTCACCTCTTAAAAACCGAGACCTGGTTCAAGAAAATCTTAAAACACAATCATTTGTCTTGAATGAAACAAAGACAGCCGCATCTTTTTTAAATTTGTTCCCAAAAAAAAAAAACATTTCCATGTTATTAAAATAAAGTTTGAATTTGAACCATAAGACGAGTTGTTGTGTCTGTCCACCTTGACGAAGCTGTCCATGCTGCAGTCTTTCATAAAGTCCATTCATGGCGTCTCACCTGGTCTCCTGTCTGAGCCACGTTCTCCAGACGCTGCTGCCAGACCTCCAGGTTTGTCTCCACTGACTCCAGGACGCCTTCAAACTCCTGCAGCTGCCTCAGCTCCTCCTACACACACACATGACACCGTGACACCGTGACACCGTGACCTATGTGGATTAATTTATAGGCCACCGTGACGCACAGGCTGAGACACATGCAGAGCTCTGAACGTACATGTCACTGCTATAATGTGCACAAGAGCATAACGATGAGTTGAAACTCCACCTTCTGATGGGGTGACACTTTATAAACAATGGAAAACTGACAATAAAGTGAATAAAATTATTGTATAGAAGCAATAAAACATCATTTTTGAATCATAAACAGGTTATGGAGAAGTAAAATTAGCAGAAAGTTTCAATGAGATGCTGTAAAGTCACAGAAACAATAGATTCCCTCTGAACTTGTACCTGCAGCTGAGCCAACGCCCCTGTGAGCCTCTGAATGAGCTGCAGGACACCACGTGACAACAACCTGCTCTCTGATTGGACCAGAGCAGCGGCCGAAGGTTCCAGGTGACTAACCAAGTCCTTGGAGGCCTCCAGCACCCCCTGCAGGTCACACTGCGAAGTGTCAGCCCTTTGCAGGAGACTCTGGAAAGAGATGAAAGAGTAAAACCTTCAGCTGAAGACTCCGAGACATTCAAAGATCTGTCCCCGAGGAACTGAGGGTTAAGAAACGGAGACAGACGAACACACGAAAACAGCAAATTCAATTAGTTCGTCTCCAAAACCAAGGAGCCAAATGTTTTTCTTTTTCCACCGTGTGAATGTTCCAGCGCTAATAGAAAAACTTTGATGGAATAAATCTTAACCAAAGCTTCTCTCGCCATCTTTCCAAGGATGTTCCACAACCTCTCACAGGCCCTGTTCACATCTGGCATGAACATCTGTCCTGAGCTGTTCACATCTGAGTTTTCCACCTTCTGATGTCAGAAGTTGTTCTCCCTCTGGGGAGGAGGCTGCTCCATCCACCAAACAAAGGTTTCCACGGTAATGGATGAAGTTTACTGCAGATCTCTGCAAACATTGCCTTAAAGCAATAACCTGAAACATGTAGCGCCTCAACCGCGCTTCAGTCTCCAGAGAGTGGAGGTGTGATGAAGACACTGCATCTGTGACACACTTGTTTTCATGTTTTCATGTCAGACGTGCTGACGAGTTTCCCTTTGCAGATGTTCTCCTCTCACCTGAAGCTTTTCAATTTTAACGGCGACCTGCTCTGTGCTGTTGTCGTCCGCAGGCGCCGCGCTCAGAGCGGACGTGACGTCGCTCTGCAGCTTCTGCAGCCGTCGGGAGAAAGACGCCTCCAGGCCGCAGTAGATCTCCCAGGCCTGCAGGAGCCTCTGACTCCTCTGGAGCTGCTGGTGCAGAGATCCAGACGCCACGGTCCAACTGAAAAACACCAGAGTGAGTGTGTGTGTCTCACCTTTATGTGTGTGTGTGTGTGTGTGTGTGTGTCTCACCTGTGTGTGTGTCTGTCCAGCCGCTCAGTGAGAAGTGCAGCAGCCGAAGGACTGATGATGTCTCTGAGGGACAAGACGTTTTGACTCAGCTTGTCCCTCAGAGACTCTGCAGCTTCTGTCTCCTCATGAAGGAGCTGCTTCCACACAACAACACA